TTTACTGTAAATGAACAAAAACATGAATGCCACGAAATGATTTCAGCAATGTTCAATGTGTAAAGATTATCTAAACATATATAGTAATATTTCGATCAGAACGACGAACAGTGATAACGAGAAGAGAGCATTTATTCGCTTCCCGCGTGAAGGATTTTCACTCCTCACTCGATTAGATTAACCCACATATCTGTCCATTTCCCACGGATCTCTTCCACTAAGGGTCCTCTCTCACTGAAAGATCTCGAGCCGGTTGGGGCGAGGCTACGTGGCGCGACCCAGGTGGCGGATGGGGGGTAAATCGACGGACCAAAGCCACCATGTACTTGCCCTGAGACGCAGGTGGATTCAGTGGATGGACTCCTGTTTCTTGCAGTGCTGTGTTGATTCATACCAGCTGTCTCCACTCAGGCCCATCCATCCGTGTGCCTTCGATATGCCGAAAACAGCAATATGGATGGGCCTCATTCCCCTGAACCTGAGGGAGCCCACAATACGGCAGCGTTGGGTAGGACCGCTCGGGAGAGGCTGCTAGAATAGGGCCCGGAGAGGCTGCCTAAACGAAGAAGGACTAAGATGGCGATCTGTATGCACGAACGCTTGCATCCGAAGCTCACATCGAAGATCTGATGATGCAGGCCAGGAAGATCAAGTACGACGTCATCTGACTGACCGAGACGAGGAGGCACCCCCCGCCATACGCCGTTTTCGATACTGGAGAAGAACTGTTTCTTGGAACAGCAGAGGCGTTGGCGGTGTGGGTGTCCTCGTCAACACGCACTTGGCCATAAACATCGATTCGTACGAAAGCCTTACAACCCGAATCGGACGTTTGAGATTGAGAAGATGTGGATAAACTCCTGCTTTGACAATCTTCGTTGCCTACGCACCAACATCGAGCTACGACGAGGAGGAACACGAAGCATTTCATATGGAATTGGAGATGTTCTACAAGGAAGATCATACCTTCTTCAAGGTCATCGTCGGCGACCTCAACGCTGAGATTCGCCCAACAAGAACGCTGAAAAACTTCACATCGGTACTCACGGATTGGAATGGAATGAGCAGGGTGAGAGGCTATCGGAGTTTATCATGTCGACGAACACCATCCATGGTAACTCACAGTTCCAAAAGCCCCCTCACCTTAGTTGGACTTGGGAGTCACCTGATGGACAGTTCCATAACGAGATAGACCACATCATCTTCAATCGGAGGTTTTGCCTGACCGACGTCGCTGTCGTTCCGAAGTTCTACACGGGATCGGACCATCGTCTCCTCCGCGCAAAATTCCACCTCACGATGCGTGTTGAGAGAGCAGCAAAGTTCAGGAAGCGAAACCCCAAGACAGTCATCAACTGAGACCACTTCGCTTCCCTTGTCAGCTTATGGGAGGATTCCGTCGTCGAAAACATCGACGAGGAGTACTATCGGCTCGTTAAACATCTTCACGACTGTGGCAGGAAGGCAGAGAGTTTGAAAGTCACCAAGGAACGTCTGTCTACGGAAACTCTCGAACTGATACGCCAGCGTGGAGCCGCACGAGCTGCAGGCAATCACCAGCTCACGTCCGAGCTTGCGAAGCTATGCAGAGAGGCGATAAAGGAAGATCTCAAGGAGCGAAGACAAGGAGTATTAGCTGAAGCAGCAGAGGCTGGAAAGAGCATCCGCAATGCCCGCCGGAGCTTTGCCAGCTACAAGATCAAGATGACCTGCCTCCGACGTCTAGATGGAACAGTTACTTCATCCCGAAGGGCAATGGAGAAAGTCATCCACGACTTCTACTCGGATCTCTTCGATAGCCATGTCTATCTGCCCAGTTATTAATTGCAATAGGATGTACGTCATCCCCTCAGTACTCTCTTCCGAAGTCCGACACGCCGTCAGAAGAATCGTACAGCACCCGGTCTCGACAGGGTCAAACCGGAATACCTGAAGAATGCGCCGCCAGTCATCACCAAAACTCTGGCTCGACTCTTCACGCGCTACCTGTCGGAATGCAAGGTACCCACTCCGTGGGAAACCAGCAGGACCGTGATGCTGTACAAGAAGGGAGACCTGGACGACATTGGCAACTATCGCCCAATCTGCCTGCTGTCTGTAATCTACCTATCTATTCACTCGAGTCATCCCTAATAGGATCGGCAGAATACTAGATGAGCAAGCAGGGTTTCGAAGAGGGTTCTGCACGGTCAACCATATCTACACTGTTACAAGACTCATTGAATTTTTCACGAGAGTACAAGATGCCCTTTGTCTCACGTTCATCGACTTGAAGAAGGCCTTCGACTCTGTGGAGACAGAAGCGGTCATCGAAGCCTTGCGCAACCAGGGCGTTCCTACCCAGTACATCAAGATTCTTCGTGAGCTCTACAGCAACTTACGACCAGAATCTCACCATTCTACAAGGAGGTCAAGAAAGGGTTCCGACAGGGCGACACCATCTCGCCCAAACTTTTCAGCAGCGCTCTCAAGAACGTCATGCGTCAACTGGAATGGGAAGACATGGGAGTGAAGGTCGACGGTCGGCAACTGGACCACCTTCGTTTTGCTAACGACATCATTCTCATAACGCCGAATATCGAGCAAGCGGAGCGAATGCTGGCTGATTTCGACTGCGCCTGTGGTAAGGTTGGTCTGCAGCTGAACCTAACAAAGACGATGTTTATGTGATTGGTTCCTAATGCCCCATTCAAGCTCAACGAAACGAACATTACTGAATGCTCCAGCTACGTGTACCTAGGTCGGGAATCAATATGATGAACGACCTAGCCCCAGAGCTGAGCAGGAGGAAACGAGCGGCATGGGGAGCATTCAAGAACATCGAGGGAGTAATGAAGGAGACAAAGAACTCCGACTATGTGCCCACCTCTTCTATTCCGCTGTCCTTCCTGCCCTAACCTACGCCTCAGAGACTTGGACTCTGCGCAGGCAGGACGGGCATGCGGTCAGCGTTACCCAACGCGCTGTCGAGAGGACGATGCTAGGAATAACCCTATTCTTGCAAGTGCAGAGGGGAATCCGAAGTTCGGAACTACGCCAACGATCAAAGATCAGGGACGCTGCTGTTTTCGCTAAGGAATCGAAGATAAGGTGGGCCGGACACGTCACGTGATTCTGCGATGACCGTTCGACCAGAGCGGTTACCGACTAGATCCCTCGGGACGTCAAACGAACACCTAGACGACCGCCGGCCCGATGGTCAGATTTCTTCACAAAAGCTCTGATCAAAGGAATGATGGACTTCGTGTCCCTCGAGCAAGGAGGATCCACTGGACCACTCTTGCACGCGACAGGGACGAATGGAGACGTTGGTGGCGCCCGCTCGAGCAAATCGACGATCAACGGGACGGCAGGTGATACAGGTTATCTGTCCATTTCTAGCGCCTGGCAAGCGATTATCAGCTGGTACCCCATATGAGCTTCCATCGTCCCAGAAGCACATGTTTTGGCAGCCCATACGGGTGGCCAACGGCATGAATGTGTTAACACATTGCCGACAACGCGTGGATATATATCCCGCGCATTGCAGGCCATGTCAGACCGTGCGGGATATAGATCTCCCGCACCCATTACACTCATTTTTTTTCGCGCACGCCCTATTCTTTCAGAAGTTTCTTGCATTTATTCCATGGAAGAGACTTTGACGTTGCTTCAAACATTAGCGCATAGAATGGTCACGTATGCTTCAATTTAGAGAAGGATTTCTGAACTAAACGGATTCCTTAGTTTAATAAATTTTTCGTTTACTTCTTCTTTTTATGAATGTGGACATTTAAATAGTAGTAGAAGTAGACGGAACCTTAAGGATGACAACGTGTGTGTTTTGATTGGAATAGTAGACGTAAAACTGCTTTTGAGATCCATTGCAGCTAGTTCTGAGAAATTTCGCTTTTTCATTGCTGTACTGTACCCCTAAGTAGGTTGTGTTCATTACAGTTTACTGATCTGGTTCTTTACTAATCATTATTTATGTATTCACATCTGCTTGAACGACCTGAGGCAGCCGCGTCCTCCAAATCGCCCGGTCAAAAAAACCAAAACTCGCATTGTCGTCAACGTGTTAAGTAAAAAGGCGCGAAGAAGCGATCGACTCTAGCACACTCAATGAGCCGTTTGTCTCCAGTGTTAGCGGTCAGGTGCACTTGTGATCGTCAGGAAACTTACCGTGCTAACTCATGTAAGCGGAAAAGCTAAGCTTCCCAGTGGAGCAAGTGAACTGAAAAAGCAGCTGAACGGAGGCGTTGTTTCAACTCAGTATTGTCACAACCTTTTTCACTGTTTGTGGGGGATTCACAGACGAGTTGGTCCTGAATAAATGGAGCGGTAAAAATTGCATTTCAAACAAGCTAAAGCTCAATACCTCAGACAGTAGTGAGTCGCCGGAAACGGTTAAGGATTTTGCGGTGAACAAATCGAAAATCTTGTCAATTTTGACTTTCATCTCACAAAACATAGAACAGAAAAGAAAGGATTGCCTCAAAATTTCTCTCACTCGAGTGATTCCTCAAACCAAGCAAAAAAAACAACCTCACTGAACATTTGTATTGAATCCGGCACACCCGGCAATCAGCGCGAACATGCGAGCCGAACTGCCCATAGATTATTGCGTTGGGAAAGTGGCCACCTAGAGTTCCGAACACAACTCTACTAGCTTACGTTGTACGTACGAAGTGTGGTGATGACGGACACCTGCTGCTGAAAACATGGAAAGGTTAATGGTTCAAGGAACCACTTCATAATGGCTGCAACAACTCAATGCCGTCTATCAACACGCCGCGGTCAGCTCATTCCCTGGAAGACTCTTTCGTTTTCAAAGCGCATAGGGGCTATTCGAAAGGACCATATAATTTTTAGTTCATTACCCATCACTAAACAAGTTTTTGGTCTCCACTTTTCTTTTTCTAGTGGTACAGATTTTCTACGACCGCTTCATCTTGTTACCCTAATTTTATGACCACCCTGTATACAACTTTATAATGGCTATGACATATGTGATGCAGTCATACTTTGCGATCGAGCTGTTCAAACGTTTTTGTGAGATCTACGGTGTTCACCATCCAGTCAGCCGCAGCGCGTGACAGTGACGCATGCACTGCACCTCGGGCGAATACCAACGAAGCATTCAATTGCGTTGGCGTCATTTGCGTCTCTAAACTGATTTGTACAGAAGCAGGACAACTATTCCTAAGAACAAGAACTGGAACTTTCAAGTAGGAGGAGAAAGGTTTTCGTCTTCTCCATGTAACCTCAAAAATCTCCCACCGTTTCGAAAGAACTTCAGTGAACGGACATCCCATTTCAAAGAGTGATTGTAGCGATTACTCTCGCATGGTCTCACGTGAACATCATTAGCTCCTCCGAGAGCACGCAGAATATCAACGGCCTCGTACACAGTTTTGATCATGATGTCATAATTCTGAAGATCAGTCTGGACACTGCATAGATTAACGGCGATATCGAGATTTATGTGGAAAACCTGCATAAGAATGACGTATCCCCATCCTTTGTATACCATCAACGACTTCATGCATTCGTAATGTGCACGAGTTCCATTGATTCCAGCCCTTCCTATGTCAAAACGCTCTAAACATGTGCTATGTAAAAAAACAGGTCAGTAAATATATTCTATAGACATAACAAAATATTTCATTGGAAGAAAGATTATGCTACTCTCAAAAGTGTCGACTGTCAAAACCCGAAGTTGAGATCCAAAAAGAAACCTAGAACATATCATTATCCGGGAGAATTGATATGTTTAAAAGCAATTTTCCGGGTGATCCACACACATCACTCGTGTAACTCAATCACAAGCTCCCCTCATCTCTTCCCAGCAAGTTTGTGAGGAATACATAGAAAACCTGCGAAGAGCGTTTACAAAAACCATTAAATCCACCAACAAACCAGGCCAATATATGGCCCCTTTTCTGCTTCAATTCTCTTTTTCGCATTAGTAGGCCTTGCATAAGTATTCCACTCCGCTAAGGAACTCACAAATCAACAGAAATTCAATGAAAGTGGTAAAATCGCTAGACGTAAGCTCACTAACTGGTTGGAACTACAACATTTGAAAGACATTTGGCGAGACCCTCTATTCTCTCCGCGAATTCTCTCTTCGCTTTATAATCGATGGCATAGCAGAAGAAATTTTGCGGATGGTAGCTTGATCTGAGTTCGTCCTCGATAAAGTCATAGCTCTAGAAAAGTTATGACAGAAAGGGTGAGCAATGGAACAGAGATTTCCAAAAGTACCTCGTATACTATACGTGCATAGGCTATTCCGAAATGTAAACGGTTTAACGGGTTTGGTGGAAGAACTCGGGCCTGAACATCCTCACAGGTCATAGACACATTTTGATCGCGAAGTCTCGTACGCGACGATGCCATTAGCCTCGTATAATTGCCAAGCTAAACGACTTCTTTAGAAGCGAGTGGCACGATATTTATCAGAATGATGGCTAACCTCTTCTTCGTGAAGAAGCCTACCACAGTCAATGCGTGCAGTTTCAGCTTTTCGTTGGAAGCCTTTCACGTCTGGCTTCTCATAGTGCGAATCCTGAAGCAAGGCTTCTCTGGGAAAAGTTCCCATTACAAGAATTTCTTGTCATCACTCATATCTCTCATAAGGACAGTCTTAAACTTTTCAATAGATTAAGTAGCGAGTAAGTGAAGTATAGAATAGACTGAGATAAGTTCGGGAGGTAAACAGTCTTATGAGATGATTCCGATCGTTGCTCTGCACCAACGGGTGAACTTCAGGTGAAATCGGCGCGGTCTCATCTAAAGGGCAAGTAGGGTAAATGGCATGCCTTACAGAGTGAGATTCCTTCATAATATTTCTCCTAACCCTGAATAATCTCCTTACCGATCCATTGTAGATTTCCAGCCTATAATGGTCATAGCTGCGCTGACCATGATCTTCCTCCTCAGTGATATATGCGTTTTCTTCTTCACTCAGCCCTGAAACTTTAGATTTGTTTGTCAAAAAATTGTTTGTATTAAGGCGATTTTATGTCGCTGCATCATGTATTCCTTGCCAGATGAAGAAATTCATCGATGGCCTAAAGTATTAGCCCGCGCTCTCAGCAAGTGACCATAGTGAGAACAGTTCCCTTCGTTCGAATTAAATTCTTTTGCGCATATTGGCTTGCTTGCGCGTGCACTAGCTTGCTCATGAAGGACTTATGGCTTCAGAAACTGTATAAAACTCGCGCGCCTCGAAGCTTTCCTCGTTAATTTGCCAAAACCCTCAGTTGAAAGATTTCCGAAAGCTCAATTTCCAATCATTTTTCAAAGCTTTTTGAGAGTGCAAATCTTCTTTCGACAACACCACATTCTGCCTGATTAGGCCTCCGAATTAGTTATGGTTCATGAAAGGGTGAAGCTCGCATCTTACAAGAGTTTCCTTCGATGATTTCGCCTTCAGTGCCACTCCTCAGCAAACAGCATAACGTTGAGTTTGGCACTCTCCCAAAATTGCCAGTCGAGAAATTTCCAAATATTTTTCAGATATAAATCCGACGTGTAATGGTCGCTGTGGCCAACGCAATCCCCGCAATGGCCACCACACATTTTGCGACAAAGACCAGTTCTCTTCGTGTAATACGCAAGCGATACTAGTACAATCGTCATGAATGTGGTGCCGTATATGGAATTTTCCCGTGACGTGTCATCAAACCCCATGATGGCGAAGGACTGTAATAGTGAGAGGAATTTCGGTTGACAACTGCCTCGAGTCCGCTAGCGCATGTTCGAATTACGTACGGCACACGACTCCAACCGCACCTCTAAGGATTACTTTGCTTCACACAGTTCCTGAACAGCTTTAGCTCTCAAAACCTCTACCAATAAGTTAGTAAGCTCATTTGCTCTTGCTTCTTAGGTAACGGTTCAGCTTCGTGAGACCTCTACCAGAGCCTCTAACTTCATGAGCACCAACTAAGATCCCTTAAAAGGTAAAGATAACGATCAAAGAGATCACGAGATGAAGAATGGGCAAAACTATTAGGCTGAGTCATGGCTAATTGCCGATTTCTTCACATGTAATTTTTCCCAGAAAATGTTTATGTTGTCCCCCGCAAAGCCCTATATGGCGACCTGAGTGAACTTTCATATTACGAAATTTAACCGCCAGTACTCGTCTTTTGGGAGAAGTAATGCCGTTCTCATCAACACATGTTTGTCACTCTATTTTCCGAGTTCCACCTTGGGCACTCTGCAAGAGGAGCTTGTCGAAATATCTGTATATCTGGAGCACTAGGCTCGCTGAATGAGAATATCTATTAAAAGTGGTTCTGGAAGCTTCGCCACCGCGACTATACCCCTTAAGACCCCATATTTTGGACACCCAGTAGCCGTAGATATTGAAGGCATGCAAGAGCTTGTTGAGGGCAACCAGGCATAAGTGACCGTCAAACTGTAGTAGACCTTCAGTCCTCCCAGTGCGCCATGTGTCGTTCCCTCTGAGTTATTGAGAAATTGTAAACACTGGGAAGATGAGTTGGACGAGGTGGCTTGAAGGACACGTGTGATCATCTCACAGAGTTTGCTGTATAAAAGGCGTTGTTCCGATCGGCTCGATGCAGTCACTGGGGTCGAGAAGTGCGCAGTCTAGCCAAGCAAGGTACGGAGGCGTCAGTGGGAACGTGCAGCTTAGCAGCTACAATGAGCTCCAATAGGTGAACTTCACCTGGGGTAGGTTCCGTTCTGCAATTGTACGATTGCATTATTACATACCTAAAGCAATACCACCGCTGCCGGCGCAGACACCTAGTGCTTACAGCTTGGTAAACCTCCTTCGGATATCGCAAAGATGAGGCTTCCTATACATGAAATTGCTCCACTGCGCGCTAGCTCGCAGCCCACTTACATCGAGGGAATGCCGTAACAATGTACAGAAACTTGACCTCATGATTTCCCCCACTCCTTCTGATCCACTTGCTTGGTCGTTTCCTAAACAAAAAAAAACTACGCTAACGGCGAACACCTCGAAACAGCCATCCACTGATCCTTGACGTCGAAAGTTGCGGAGTTTTAGGGGAGAGGTATCCATTCACTTGCGTATAGATAGAGGATACCTGTAGACAGCTGTGTAAATAATGCACTTAACCAAAATGGTTCAAAAGAAAGTTGTGAACTTTTGAAATTTATGTCAAATCAGCAATTACTTATGACTCAGCCTACACGATACAAGATGATTCTTCTTCGAAACAGGTGCTTATCCGAACACCGCTAAACGAGTTGTTCGGTAACAGTTTCGCTTCGGAAGCCATAGGTTTATTTAAGTGAGGTGTCTTCAAGAATTTCGGAACTTTGACTTTGAATTACACATTTGGATAGGTAAGGTAGGTCATTATCTCATAGACAATACTCTACACACTATGCCATCTAGCGAAGTGGTTTTGAGAGAAGCGAGAGAAACAAAAGTGTGATATCAAACCATTAAAAGCACAACCCAAGCAGAGATCGGGTAAACGCCTTCCTTCGGTCTTTAGTTAGATCGCTAGAGGGCAGTCACAAATGTGGCGTTCTCGTACACGAAAACCAACGTAAGCGCGCTTGGGCCCTGCAAAGTAATCTGCCCAAGTTGCAAACTTTTTTCTCTTATCAGTCTGTTGTCTGGCGATCTCTCATCTGTAGCGCTCTCTGCCTCATACTCTCCTCTCAGCGCTTACGATTAGTCTCTCATTCCCTTAGCACAGGCGATTAGAAAGGTCAGTGAGCCCTTGATTTGAGCGTTTTTGACGGATTCTTTTCCTTTTTCTTTACTGCCGATCCACTTCCCACCAATACACGCATTCAAGCACAAGACCCACACCTATGTGACTCTCGGGCAGGCCTTTAAATACTATCGCCGCAGTCAATGAGGAAGTCTAGTTGTAACAGCAGAATTGCGAGTAATCAAAAGAACGTAAAAGGAAGGCAACATCCCCTCTCGCATTATTCAACGACTTATTAGGTTGTCCAGAAATTGATGTCAGTCTGCGTTCCTGCTTCCTCTGTGCAATTTTTTGCAAAAAACTCCTTTACGGGGAGTGCTCTAGGAGGGAAACGTTCTAGCCCACGGAGCAGCCTTCATCGAAAATGGTGCCATTTTGAGCTTGCTAGCACCGAAGAATGGTCATTTTCACTGGTTCCGCACACACAACATTTAATAGTGTGGTCACTGAGTGAAAGTGAGGGTTATCATGTTCGTTTTCGTAGCTTTGATCCACTGAGAGTGGTATCTAAGAGGGCTTCATAGAAACTGAATGAGAACATTTGCGTGCAAAGTGCGCGAGTCCAAGAAGCGGCTGCGAGACCTTGTGTTTGGCATGCAGGTGCTCCTTTATCGTGAGGAGCGGACCTGCCCGTTTCTCCGGTGTAATCTCTCTCTCCCATTTCTCCTCTTTGCATAAAAGACATGAAATTGAATACGCTGCACCAAATGTCATGCAGTCGCCGTCCCTGCCGAATGTACATATGACACACGAAGGGGTTACACAAGTGCGATCATTATAAGCGATTTCGGAAGTCCCCTCTTCGGTTTGAGAATTGAATGTTTACCACCCTGGAGGCCAGCCCTCACGCATGAGAGCATGGCCGTACTCAGTTCATCAGATAGGAATGGAACACAAAAGGGTACTTTTGTCTGTTTTTTCCTTCACGATGGCCAGCTTCAACTACCAATCGTCTGTGTCTCAAAGGAAGTTCCGGTGTGAGGTAGTGGTTCTCCTGTGCCATGTGACGCGCCTTTTCGAGCCATTCTGCCCTCTCTTCGCTTCCTGATAAATCTGTTGCGGCGGAGTGCATCACATTTCAAATGATGGCTTTCTTTGTGTTAGAGGGATGTGCAGAACTGAAAAGGATTAGTACGTTTTCGCTCGCCGGCTTTTAATACCATTTCGATCTGGAAGTACCCACAGTGATCTGAAGTTGAGCAATGAGAAAGGCGAGCTAACTGACTGGTTATACCCCAGTTAGCTTAACATGTTCCGATTGACAATTAAGCTGCTCGAAGCAGGTGTCCATCTCCAGTTGGGTGGAACACCTAATAAAAGTTACTCTCAGTCTTGGTTGGAAACTTAGTAACTACTTTCATATACTGAAGACAATCCTCTACGCCGACGGCATCGCCTTGATAGTGGACTGCAGACAAGAACTTCAAGCCAGGGTGCTAAAATGACAGAAAGTCTGGCAGAAGGCGGGCTCCAGCTGAATATCAAAAGGACCAAATTCCTGGGCTCTGTAGGGGGTACAGAGCCGATCGTAGACGGCCATGGTGAGGTCATCGAAAGTGTGGTGGAATTCCGCTACCTTGGTGTCGATCTGGCAGCTGGCGGTAGTGTGGATCAGGCGCTGAAGATCTGGTAGCTGCTAGAATGAAATGGAAGGAGTCTACTGGAATCCTCTGTGATCGAAGGTACTCCAGATCGTCCAAAAAGATGGACAGTGGTAAGGCTTGCAATGCTATGCGACAGCGGGTCTGGTCCCGCAACAAGAACCACGAAGGGCAGCTTCACTCTGCCGACATGAAGATGCTGAGATGGGCCGGCGGCTGGACGCGGTAAGACAGGGATAGAAACTAGGGTGTCGGAACGGTATTGCACC